GTTATTTTGAGTTATGACCAGATGGAGGATTGTGAGAGCGTATACAATCTATGGTCCTATTGAACATATTTTTGTTACGTATAAAGAAAATTTGAAAGACACTTTAGGAAAAAATTGTTTACTATTTCACTAACGTAGATTTTGACAACTTCAGCTTATAATTCTGCTGAAAAACTTAGAAATTCACTTTGAGAGATTGAGATAGAGTGAATGAGAAAGCCTAAAGTTTCAACAATTAGCTATAAAAGGACCACATGTTTCCTACTTCAGCATTACTTATCAATCATATATTCTTTAGTGATCAAGCAAAAGCACGAAGTCGACAAATTAATTAAAAATTTATTCATTTCTCCGGCTGACAGTTGACGCCAAAAGTCATTCGAAGAAAAAATGAGTTCTTTTAGAATCAACTTCGAATTTCCGCTTTATTACCAAAAAATGTGAAATCCAAATCTTTGTAAAGTTTACTATTTATTTAATCTAAAGCGTTAGTCCTCTGAGAGCTTCATTTTTGGATGACAAGCATTCCAATTACACAAAGATAAGCACATCGTTGACATTTCAATTTTCGAGACAACGACATTTTAAGTCTTTAGCAGTGTTGACGCTATGACAAAGAACTTTATTGCTGATAGTTACGATTATTTTCTATCATTTTCGTGCCCTGCCAAGACCACCTTTGCATTGTTTGCTTAAAATTCATTAGCAATAAAATGATTACGGTAGACGGAATTGTGTGTATTGCCGTAGCATTTTGCAAGGTGTGAGTCTTTTGAAACTGTTTCCTGCCTATTTTTCTAAGGACCTTATATGTTGAAGAATAAAATTTTTTTATTCCGGAACAAGACCTGGGAACACTGTCCGAGGAAAATGCTATCAATTGCAATACTACGCATACATCGTCGATCTCCCAAGCTGATATAGTTTGAACTTAAAAAAGGGTCCTTTTAAGCGTTCTCATAGTTTATTCAAGTAAGAAGATTTTGAAAGCAGAAACAAAAGAAGAAAACATTTCAAGCAGAAAAAGTTCGCTTTAGCTCCTTTTCTGAAGGCTTCCTCAGATGATCAATCGAGCATCCTGTATATTTTCTGTAAATTTCAGGCAACAAGAGAGTGCGAAATATGAGCGAAAATTCCACTTACGTTACGAACGCAATAATATAGATTGGTGAACGATTTCCGCTCTTGACTTCTAAGGACCCGCCGCGGTCCCTATCATCTGATAACCATCTTGAACACATTATTGCTTCTCTATCTGTTTATGCTAACAAGCAACAGTCACTAAGAGCAGGTTCTGATGAGTAGTTTTTGACTGCTGAGGAATACAGAAGATTTCTGCCATTACCTACTCAGAAAGAGTTAACAGAATAATTGAAGATGGTAACATGGTGTGACGATTTTGCTGAGATAACGTTGAAATTTTAGTTTGTCCTTCAACACCTCTTTTCATTTGCATTACCCAAAGCTTCATTCTGCCCATACACAGATTTTCTGACATACCAAAAACAGGGAAAATGGATAAGGAAAACAGGACGTGTTACACTATGATGTGATAAGAGGATAAGAAAGGCTTGTAAAAAAAATGATGAGCTGATTAGGTAAGTTTTTTTTCTCAATTAAAAATGGTTAGAGAACAATGATGCAATGCTTTTGGTTTCATCAAATTAACTCACTATTCTTCCATTTGAAATAACATTGTGAGAGCACTAAAAAAAGTTTTCCGCGTGCGATCTGAATCCTTTAGAATTCTACACGTACAAGATAATAGGAACTATGCTCTTTACCTTCTCCTTCAAAAAGAGACAAATCCGACGTTCACCATATCCATTAAGAGATGAGTGATTGCCATATTCACCTGGTGGTCTGACCACGGGATCGTGCAAGTGCGCTGATGTTATGGAGCAAATGCTTCAACTATACTTATAGTTTACTGCCTTTATGAAATAGTTAATGCTATTCTAATACACACTATCATAAAATGTATGCTAGTCACCTCTAATTTCAAGTAAGAAACAGAAATTTTTTGAGCAAAAAAATATCTCAGTGCAGAGATCGGGAAAAATTGACTCAAGTGACTTCCCGTCATTGTGACGTGGTGAAATCACTTACTTCAATATATAGATGGACTAAAAAAATAATTTAGTAAATATCAGAATAACGCTCTTCTGAAAATTTAAAAACATCAAAGTATTGTTTATCAAGATTGTCACACAGCCTTCTTTTCGTAAATTAATACGACTCTTCCTCAGCTATTCTTTACATCCCTCAAAACTTTCTGAAGGATTATCTACTACGAAAACTAGAACTCTTATTACGGACATAATCATTTATATCGCTATCATCAATATTAATGGCAGCAACAGTGCTGTTCTTAACACCTACATTTTGCTTCAAAAATTAGACAAAAACGAGCAGATTTTCGTACAATATATTCATGCTCCTTTTTGAAATTTATACCCTTGTACGATCTTTTGTAGTTGTCAACGACAAAAATTATGACTAGTAGAAATTATTCTACTCACGTTGGATATTAGAAAACAAATTCAATATAGTTATTCGCAAAATCGCAACATAATCTTCTCGAAAACCATTTATTTTCGTGATCAGAGAAAAATCACGTTGCTGTAACTTATCAGCATATTTCTTCAGTCAGAAATTATACTACCAGCGTTCTCTCATTCCATAAAGTGCTGCAAGCATTGTTGGCATTGGTATTCGTCCTGAAGCGGTAAAGCAAGTAACCGACCGCCAAAAGTACTTCAAAAGCTCTTCAGTCGGCGTAATGTTGCGTGTCATTAGGCCTAACAAGAATGTAATGTTGTTCATAAATAGTTATTCACTACAGCGATTCCTAGGGATGCTATAGCCATTGAAAATTTGAAAAACTCGTTGACAGTTAGCTAGATTGATCTCAGACACTATAGTACTCAGCCAAGATTATGAGCACTTCAGTAGTTCAGATTTTACGGTGTGCTGTGTGAATAACAGTAATAGTATTAGCATCGCTCATGAAAGGTATAATTTATTGAAGAACTAGCAAGTATCACTTCAGCTTTTCAGCGTGATGTACTGCTTTCAACCTGTCATAGTGCAGCTGCACTATTACGACTTTATACAAGCAGAAGAAGTAAGGGGACATTTCGTTAATCTGCACAGTGTCTTTCCATAGTGCTCGTTGCTCCAGTAATACTGTAATTGCTATTTGCAGCCAGTACTACTATTACTGTTCGAATCACATCGATATTTATACAGCTGTTAGTGAAACACTATTCAACCACTTCCAATACTTCTAATAACATTCGTAACGACCACACACGTGAACTGAATGATATTGTCGGCGTGTTTGATAAGAAACAAATAAAATTTTAAAGCTAGTTTCATCTTTATGACAAAACAAATAGACAATGACACATGAAGACAGAAAGTTGGACATACAGATAGACACATGCACAAACAGATAGACAGAAAGACAGAGAAAATAACTGACTTAGTGACTGACTGACTGATCATCAGACAGAAAAGCAGAATGGTAACGGATTCTCACTCGTACACCTTCCGGTACTTTAGCTAACTATTTCATAATGTCGCTAGTCTTCTCATAGTCTTCTCTTTTTTCTTTCTTCCTTCAAACTTTTGTCCTTGTCATTTTTTTGTGCTGCAAATGTCACTACCTTTGAAATACAGAATACCAAAATCACTACTTCGCAGTTCTGAATATTTTTGATAGCAAATGAAAACTTATAACAACAGTGAAGGCCTGCTAAAAAACTGATTTACTTGATATAAGTAGCACAGAACTACAAGAATTATTTATTTTGGAGTTATATTTTCGAAGTCTACTGCTCATTAGAAAATCATCTTAAAGGACTTCAAGATAGAAATACGTTGAGAAGAGGGAAGCATAGGAGAATTCGGAGAGCAAATAAACAAGATATCATCAATTTATCTATCTCATAGCACACTCCATGCATCGTATTCCATTCGTGGTATCGCAGAGATGGTTTAGTGTGTATCTGCTAATATAATGGCTTTCAATGAGATATCGATTTGTTAAATTAATGTTTTCACTTTTCTGGACAAGTTTGGTGCAAATTATCTGAGTATCGAAGAGTGCAGGAGCTATCTGACTGGGGTAGCGAGTCGGATCAACGACTTTAGACGCACTTTATTGAACACCCTACCCTCGGCGCTGTAATCACTCTAATCGAGAAGAACTGGAAGGAAGAGGATATGTACACTTTTTGTACAAATCTTGTGAGAAAACTTGAACATTCTTCAGAAGCTTTCTCGCTTCATTCCAAGATGAAGCTCGATGCATTGTGCAAGAATGATCACATTGTCAACCTCCCAATCCTCTTTTCCTACCTCATAATTTTATCTAATCATCTTCGGAGTCACAAGTCAACTTGTCGTCTTATTTTTCGTGCTTTTGCTCACTTTACACATTCATAACATGTGTACGATAGCGTATTAAAGTGACGTTTGTTCTTTCCGTTGTTAAAGAGATTTGTACCATGCCCACTATAAAACTTATTGTACAAAATACTAAAATATGCGCAAAAATGAGCGCTTTCTGAGTCATGGATTTATTTTTTATCTTCTACAGCTGCTCATTCTATACAGTTTTTGTTTAGTTGTTGAAGTAAATTTACCAGTAATCATTACCTGTACAATGCTTTTCATTAATCCTCAATCATTTTCAATAACCAAAGTGACAGCGTTAGCCATATATGGTTTATGTGTTTTGATGTGCAAATTGGTAATATACTCATATAACTACGTTTTCATCTGTTTTCAGCAATCAATTTTCTCCAATCAGAATTCGTTAATTTGACCGCTTCTAGAGATAGTATGATCTTGTAATATACCCAATAATGTGGAATGCTCTGCAAATACATTTGCGTCAGCCGGGAGTCGTACCCAAATCTCACTCTTTCGGGGAGCGTATACTAACCGTTGCACCACCGACGCTCAAAGATCTCTGCTGACATACCAAGACA